GGTGTAGGATGATTCTCTATAAACATCTTCTGTATGTGCTAAACCAGAAGAAAATATTGAAAACCATTGAGCTACACCATTTCAGATGCATACGCAAAACCTTTATCTTGTCATTCTTTCATGCATGACTCCACCACTAGTCCCAAGAAGGGAAAAGGATTGACAATAGTATTTACTATCTTGGGTCAAGCATTGGACTAGGCACTGTATATGTGTAATTTTATTTAATCCATGTAACAAACCTCAAATGTAGATATTAGAAACCTTAATCTCAGTTTTACAAAAAAAAAAAAAAAAAAAAAAAAAAAAACGCAGTCCAGAATGGTTAAGTATCTTTCCTAAGGACTTCAGAATTTCTAAATTATAGCTTCAGGATTTGAACCAGATTTACCTAAGTGTTTCCAGCAATCCTTTTAGAATAGTCTCACCATTTCCTAAACTCCCATGATATAAGCTCTTTCATTCATAGTCTATTGCCCTAGAAGACAGGAGCTTTCCAAAAAGTGCCAGCTTAAAAATCAGAAGTTCCAAATTGGAGCCTCAGCTTTACAAGTCATAGGTTGTATGACTTCGGACAACTTATCTATTAAAATGAAATGTTTCCAACTCTAACCTACATGCCATGATTTGCATAAATATAGATTCTGGAGACCCATCTCCATTCGTGATATTGCTTCTGATCACAGACTTTTTCTCCATCCTGGGAACAGCAGTTTCTAGAGTACACCTACTGGGTTGCTACACTTGTTGGCAGGACCATCGGACAAGGGTGGCTAAGGAGGGGGTTGGCTGGAAGTGTGAGAAAGGCATCTACCTTGCAGCTGTCCCTGCCTGCACAAAACCATGGATAAACAAGAGTCCCTCTCTAGAGATCTCTGTTGGCACCTTGTCCTCATTCCTTTCTGGAAAAAAAAAAAAAAAAAGAGAGAGAGAGAGAGAGAAAGAAAGAGAGAGAGAAAAAAAATAAATGCATATCTTTGTGAAGAATGTATTGCCTTCTACATGCAACTGCCAAAAACCCAACTGTAGACAAAATCCATCTGACAAAAATCCCTTAACTGCTTTGATTCAGTTCTTAAAGGAGATTAGTTGTTGGAAGGTCACAGAGAAGCCATCCTACTGCACACTGCAGCTCGGGGTTTCAAAGCCTTCACTACTAAGGGAATCTCCGTGCTTGATGCCCCTTCTCTCCATGCCGTTTAATCAATGAATCAACAAATAGTTACTGAGCAAGGCTTCCCTGGGGTCTGCAGGTCACTTCAGATGTGGCTCTCAGTTCAATAGCAGGTGAAAGAAAAACGGATTTTTCTGACTCCTCTTAAAGTTTCCATTTATAAAACCAGAGCTGGCATCAAAAGACTGTGGGTCTCCTGTCCCTCTTTTCCCTTCCCTGAGCCCTCTGATTCAGAGAGAAAAAGAAAATGCAATGCAGCTGAGAGACATGGAGCAGAAAGAGAAGAAGAGGGAGGAAGGGAAGGGAAGACAAAATGGAAGGGATGGACTAGGGAGGGAGGATTGAGAAAATGAGACCTTTGACCTTAGGTCAAGGGCAAAGGGCAAAAGACAAACTGAACTTATATGCAATATTCCCAAGAGATATATTTTTTTTGGTAGCATATAACCTCATGCTTACTAACCTGTTATTACAGCTCTTTATTACATATGATCATCTTTGAGACCACTCGGTCTTAAGCTTTTAGGATTGGTGTAATTTGAATATCTTACACCTTTAAGTATCCTTCTACCCACAACTATAAAGATCAAACATAAAATGCATATAGTCTCAATAGTCACAATATCAAAAATCATAAATTTTTTTTAAAAAACCTTAGTTTACAGAAGTAATTTACAGGAAAATGAATATATTACTTTTGAATTTTAATAAAATGTTATATAAGGCACCATGATATGCTTTAAACTGAATCATCATCTCCAAAGCAATGACACATTACTGCAGTGTACAAATGTCACTAGGAAAGGACCAAACTTAGAGTGGCTAAGGAGGGGGTGAAACTAAGTACTTACTATGCAAGACATGGTGCTAAATACTTTCTACATAGTACATCATCGACTACCCACTGACACACATAATTATTCTCAATCTACAGATGAGGATGTGCAAGGTCAGAGAGAGGGCATTACTATGCCTACTATGACCTAAGTTAGGTCAAGAGCAAAGACTCCAGAGCAAGTCAGAATCATGAAAGATTGTGCTTCTAACCTCCCTGGAGTTGATACTTTCAGTCCTGCTCTTATGCTTGGAGAATGAAGACAAAGAAAAGAACTGTAGTTTTACTATAATTTACTCAGAACCTTACTTGGGCTTGGTGTTCCCACATCTGTTTGAAATTTTTTTCCCCTCCCAGCATTAATTACACAAGTTTCATCTCTTTTTGAGAGGCATAGCTGGTATTAGAATAGCAAACAAGACATGAGACTACACCGTCAACCATGACACTCTGAAGAATGTTTCAGTCTAAGCATGTATAAAAGTTCTCCAGCATCTCAAAAGTGTGTGTGTGTGTGTGTGTGTGTGTGTGCGCGCACACACACACATGCACACTAGGGATCAAACCCAGGGCCTCACAATGCTAAGCAAGCACTATAACTATACAACTAAGCCACATGACCAACCCCAGAAAGATTTAAAAAAAAAAAAAAAAAAACTTACAAACATAAGTACTGTTAACACTTGACACTTAACAAAGAATTTGCTAGACAAAATTTTGAGTGTTTGGAGGGGGTTGATGCTCCTATTATTGAGTTGTTAAATTATAGCCCTTAGATTTTTTCATGTGTTGATTGATTCTATCCTAGTGAAGAAATAGGAAAATACACACCCCAAATTCTATCAGTCACTGTGAAATCTGTATGCGTACAATTAGGTATTCATTCAGAAGACTCTATGTACCAAGGTAGGTAAAATATAAATACATCATTTTGGGGTTTTGTTCCAATTACATACGTTGTTTGCAAGTGAAAGGAAATGTAACCCAAAACACCAGTTCAAGTCTGTTTTACCTTAGGACACAACATGTCTAGACAGAGTCCTTTGCTTAAAATGCCAGTTTGTGTGAGGCCATGACTCTAAGCATCCTCATTTCTCACTGTGTACCAAATAGGTACACCCTCCCACCAAATCTAGACAAAGACAAAGCTTGCTTCTAAGTTCTCTCAACCCCCCCAACTTTGACTACTAGACTTTCTTCTTGCATTTCCTCTGATTAAAAATGGATAATGACAGTACAACAAACCATGAGGTTTTGTGGCACCTAACAGATTCAGTTTGTTCATTTTTCTTGGTTGACGACATAGGTATGAATACAATCATTTTCATATATAGAACTATCTCCACCAGAGAAATGCAAACATTATTTTAAGTCCTGGTCCTTGTAGAACTCAGAAATGGTCTGGGTGGGTGAAAATCCTAAGATTAAGCACTGTCCTTCTCATAGCTTCTACATGTGCTTATTACCATGTTGCAGAAGTTGTTTCTAAAGCAAATAACAGTTTTCAGAAAGACCAAGGTTACAAATTAATCCAAAGACTCAGGAAGGCAGAAGAAAGACAGCCATACCATTTAAAAGAGAAGGAACAAAATGACCTATGACCCTCTCACACCTAGGCCTGAGAACTTCTGTGACGTAATTAGCATGACTTTCCATAAAGGAAGCCCTGAAATACACAGACTTCCTTTCTATGTCTAAAATAAAGGTACTTACCAGTGAAAATCCACAAGTCACCACATTTTGCCCAGAATTACATGGGCCACCCTTCTCCATGGAAGCACAGACTGGGACCTGCCAAGTTTAAGGAGATACCTATTTGGGTTGGTTGGGAATAAGTAGGAGGGAAGGAGGGGGGCAGAAAAGAAAGACTTCCCCTTTAAAACTGAACAGAAGCAGATACCAAATCACATGACCTTTTACCGTAATTTCTATTAAAATCATTTCATGTCTGGTTGCCTCTGCTCTCCTGGCTCATTTGTATTGTTTACAACAAGTCACTGCTCTGGCAGTTAGTGGAGGCTGAATCCATGGTTACCCGTTTTTACATTCACTAGTTAAATGGAATGCAGCTCTGCTGTGGGTTTCAGGGAGTGAGCTCTTAAGAAACCACAATCCAGCTATCAATCAGACTAATCTGAGAGAAATTAATCTTATAAACCTAAGTATTGTTGCATATTAAAAATTGATAGAAAGGGGCCACGGACTTTGATTGTTTGGAGTTACAAAAGTGGACAAGCTGAGATTTGACTTAGAGCCTCAGAGTGTTCGGTCTGTGGTCTCCATCTGACAGCCATTCACGTTGTGCATCTAAAATGCTTTCCAGGGTAATACGACCACCCTCGAAAACAAATCCACCACCTCCCCAAATTCCTTGAGCCTTTATTTCACCTGAATGTTCTTGGAATCTAAATAGTGCCTAAATACAGGTTTAACCAGACTGCAACCCCAGCAAAGTAACTTAAACAGACACACACAAGACAGTAAAACACCAAACCGACAGCATTGAGTAGAATTCAATTAAGACAAAACCTCAGTGGAATGCTCTTTATGAGTAAATTAAAACTGCAAACTAATATGTTTTATTGAGAGCAAGAAACAGTACAAATTCACTCTATTGTCCATGAATTTATGTAGTTAATTCTTTAAACATTCCCCAAAGCTAACTTGTTTCTCAAGAAGGACATGACCAACAATTATAATTCCTAATAAAAATTTAGAAGTTTTATAGTTTAATGCCCACAGTAATTGTCCCACAAGTCACATCTAAATGCTAAATGAGAACAGCAAATAGTTAAAGCTAACATATTACAACCCCATCTACTGCAAAGTCACTGTATCAGAAGCTAGAATTGATTTGTTTCCTCAGAACGAATTGAAAATGAATGTAACAGAACGTTGGAAAAACCCCTTCTGCACTGCTAATCGGATATGGTATAATGGTTGACTGCAGCTTTGCCCTGTACTAGTGCTGCCTAAATCATACATACTTACACGTTCTGGGTTCTTCCAAGAGTTTGGTGCAGTTTCAAGGACAAATGTCTTAAGGAAGCCTCTCTACTGTGCAGCAGGGAGCCTAGCTCGGATCTGATGACAGGAGCACAGTGCTAAATCTGACAACAGAGAAGGAAACTTCCTGCATGAAGAGAAGATCTTGGAAAGTCTCAGGGTTAAAAAGGCTGCTTTAGATGTGCTGGTTGATTTGCTCCCTGGTTGTGTATACACAGTAGCAGCTGATCTGTGTTTGCAGCCCTGCAGAAAGGAACCTTTACTGAAAACCAATGGCATCACATTTCAGTGGAGCCTGTGCCAAGTGCTGGAGAGCAGAGCAACCTTTGACAACTTCACACAATTCAACCCAGCAGACTTACCACAGGTCGCGAGGAGAGTGGAAGGTGCCTCCCCGCCAGCTTTCACCCTGGGTATGTTAGCGCAGTACCTGGGAAACCATACAGTTACCGGCTGGAAACAATGGAGTAAGGTATTCCCAGGACTTGTCTGAAATGTACTTTCTGTCTGCTGTCCTGACCTACCATGCACTATTATTTTAACAGAACTTTAAAAATAAATTCAAATGCTCAAAATGTATGTCCTTCTGCTTCTCATATAAACCTTTGTGTTTAAGGTTCCTCTGGGTTCCTCAGAAATAAATCCAGAGGGGAAAAAAAATAATGTAGGATTGGGTAATATGTGCCAAATTCTGCACTACGTCTCCCAAATCAGAGGCTGTGTTATTGGGGCCATTTTGTTACTGCTCATTATAAATTAGGGCGATTACAAAACTTCACTCCAGTAAAACTCACTATTATAATGAGACTAGGGATTATCAAGAGCAGACCAAGTTGTGGAAAACATGGAATGTGCTGATCAGCAGTAGAATTAGCTTTATCATCACCCTTAATATGGAAGACAAGGAAAATTCAACACCTCACCATCTCTAGAAGGGAAAGTTAAAGGAGCATAAAAGAAAGAGAAATAGAGATAGATGGGGTCAGCTAAGGCATAGAACAAACTTAATCCAAGTATTCAAGTCGTTGGTTGACCACTTCATTACCCTCCAGTTCTCCTCTGCCCTTCCCCATCTCTCTCTCCTGCCCCGAGGACAAGTCCAGGTTGCAGTACATAACCTGGCATTTTCTCACCATTGTGCATTTTACTTCAAAGGGCAAAAAGCACAACTGGCAGTTTAACAAAGGCCAAGTGAAATGTGTCAGGAAGCTCAGAGCACTGCTTTCCTCCTCCTCTGAAAGGGATCTAGGAGCTGCCTGGGCAACTGGTGAACCATCCGAGGCCTTCACTTTGCATTGATAGAGGAACGATGAGGGTTTCCTTACATTTAAGAACCCATACTGCGTAATGAATAGAGTCTGGGTTCTGTGCCAGATTTAACTTCCTTTCCTCCACCTGCACAAGGGCAGGAGTGGCTTACAATTTCCAAACTTTCTATTTCCTCATCTTTGAGGTAGTCACAAGTTATCTACCCTATAAGCTTTTTCTGTTAAGGCGTAAAGGATGCACATGTTGAGCGACAGAGCCTGGCATGCATTCATTCAAAAACATTTACTGAGTCTCCTGGCAGAACCAGGCACAGTGCCAGACAGTGGGGGCACAGAGTCAATTGAGAAACAGTACATTGCTTCAAGTATAGGTCCATAAGTGTTAGACTATGGGAGGGCAGGAGGGAAGACCTATGTTGTCTCTATCACATGCAAAAGAAAAAAAAAAATCAAATATCTTGGGATAGGGGATATAGCTCATTAGTAAAAAATTTAGCTATTATAGGCAAGTTCCTGGGTTCAATCCCTAACACTACAAAACAAAATGCTGTCTCATCTGATTCTGCCAAAAATTTTATGAGATAAATGAAGCTATGCCCAACTTACAAATAGGAAAACCACAATTTAAAGAGGTAAAGGTTACCCAGCTAGTAAATCACAGCGTGCATGTTAATCCAAGCTCTTGGACTCCTCCAAGTACTGTCTAAAGTAACTATACAAATTGGTCATGTAGCATTCATATTTTGCACAATTCTTTACAGTACTGGTTTTCATTTCTTTGTTTTTCCAGTGCTGAAGACAGAATCCAGAGCCTTCACTTGCTAGGCAAACGCTTACCACTAAGATATATCCCCTTAACAGTTTTATGTGGGCATATTGTACTTCCCTAAAGGTAGAATGAGTCTCTTAGACACACTACAACTTGAAATTACTTTTAATTCACTAGCACCTAGGATGATATTAAACATATTAAATGTTTAATAAATTTTGCTACATTGAAAAGAAACTCAAGCCGAGTCAATTTTACTACCTATGCTCAATCTCATAAGAAGCCAGAGCCTTAATATACAATGGTTTGGAGGTTATCTGTGGCCTTCCAGTTCTCATACAATGTTCTCAATGACCTCCAAATAGTCATATGCATCTCAAAGTGTTTAACACTGATTCATAATTAAACTCCCTGAATTTTGTTTTCTTCATTTGTTTAGCATGTATTTTGTAACCAGGACCTAATAATTTGGGGTAAGAGTGATTAAATATTGACCTTTATATTCAAACTTAATACTATGACATCTTGATTTCTAGGTTCACCCAGTTTCTAAGTTCTACAGATCACAAAGTGGAGAGTTCTGTTGATCATTATCTTGTGAATCAGAGCAGAACACATACCAATTTCAGAAACAATTCAAGGTGATTTTTTTAAAATCTGCATTTTAAGATATATTGTCTGTACAGATAACTCAAATTTCTTGAATGACTTTTGACCTACTACTTTATTCTTTGTTTTGACATACAGTCCATTTCTAATGGAAAAATTAGTTAGACGGTTATCAGCAAGTCATACATAAAAATACCCCTTAGAAAAATCTGTATGGTACCTAAAACTTGGAGTTCAACTGATGTATTACATTCATTGCTAATGTTACACCTTGGAAACCTTATTTTAAATGTGATTTATATCATTATTTATAAGTATTTACTGCCAAACAATGATTTCTTTAGCCTTCACAAAAATGCTAGAAATTTAGATTACTATCAATGTCATGACCACAGTGCAAATGATAGGCAATGTTTAAGACAAAGAAAAAAATTACCAAATAAATTGTTTTGTTTCCAAAGTCATTCACTTGTTTATTTAGACAAGCTTGGCCATCTGTAAAGGAAAGTAAATATGCTCAAGTACTGGCATTGCATACATTAGAATTATCATGCTTGGGAACATCTTCCAATATTCAACTGCCCAGCTGCATACTATTTCCTGCTTCCTCCCTAAATAGAATACTATGTAAAGAACCTACCTCAGAGGTTGTTCCTGGGTGGGCAAGAAATGTGCCAACCAAATACCACTCCAGGACTAAACAAATAACCCTTGAAATTGGTCAGACCTGAGCACTTAAAGAGAACTGGTTGGCCTAATGACTCTTCCTCACCACCTGAAACTAAATACAGTTTACAGATTCTCACTTGACCCTCAAAATCATCTTGAGAAGCAGATGGATGTTTTGATCATTCACATTTTGACAATTCAGAGAATTAAATAATTTCTCAAAACCATACAGTAAACTTGAGACAAGAGCTCAAAACCTAATTCCAAAGCTTTTCCACATGACACACTGTCCTCTCCCTTCATGGGGAACCCCCACACATTGGCTTCCTCTTTTTACCTTTGGCTTCACACGCCACAGCTCAGTTAAATACATACCAGGCCATTTTATAGACGTGCACACACATGCACACACAAGCACGCACATATACACATACCTTTCTACCTTCCACCTTTTCTTTTCTCACATGTTGGCCAATGGCTTCAGAGAATGATTTTCTCTGTCTCCATACATCCTTCCTCCTGCCTTTCGGTGAGTTTGGGTGTCAAAAAGCAAATCTTATCACAGGTGATAAACTTAGCAGCAGTGCTAATGTTGCACGCTTTCAAGGGAAAGAAAAGTCATATACTTTGCAACCAGTCACTAAAAATCCTGAAAGTTTCTAAAATTCCCTTTCGGCTACTCTGCAATACTTCTCATCTATCTTTTCAACTTCCAGTTATATGCATTCTCTTTAACAGCAACCCTCCCGAGTCTAGATAAATGATGAACTAGCATTCAGTTTTACTGCCTTTATGTTATGTTTATCACTTGTAGCATAATAGAACTTGTTCTTTACATTTTATTCATCACTGATAATACAAGATTTCACTCCAATGAGTAACAATATGCTTTTATACTCCAACACAGGAAAGTAATCAGCATTTAAGATTATTCGGGGGTGGGGGTGTGCTTTGAATATCTGATAATTGATCTAGAAAGGAAACATTTTAATGCAAACCTGACTGTCTAAATTTCATGAGGTTTTCATTTCAAACCACTGAACCTGAGCTCATGTACTGCTGTATACACTAATATTTGTAGTCATGGCATAGGTCATACTTAAGTAATAATTAGTTGACAGAATAGAAAAAAATAGGAGTATGATTAATTGGTTGATCCATTATTAATCAATCACGTAACTAAGGATCACAGGGGTAAAGTGAGTTGAAGATTGACTAGTCAAAACCTTTCATATCAGAAATGAAAAAAACAAGGATTGCTATTGTTCTCAGATGAAGTGGACAATCTGGTCATATGGTTAACTCTGCTTACCATCACTGTGACTGACCTTCTGCTGAAGTCTAACATTCATTAGAATATACATCAGCCATAAAGAACAAATCTCTAACTATGATGGTGATTGATCCAAAGGATCATCGGGTATTATACCCTAATTCTGCAACCTTCTGAAAATAAATGTTCATACTAAATAGAAAATGAATTTGTAATAACCGAATTAAAGTGTTCATCTAAATAGCCAACTTTAGATTTCTCTCCACACATAATAACTTGGAAAAATATATAGCCTGTGTTTACTATAGCATGATAGCTACAGTCTCTAAGAAGAGCTATAACTCGCTAACAATTTTCCTGATTTATGTTTGAAAACATACAGGGCATGAAATGATTTCTGCAACCTTACATTTTCCTCAAGAACACTAGTGAGCAGAAAATGTAGTCCAAAAATCATGTGGGCTTGCTTGTTACATCTCCTTTTTCAATAGAAATAGGTGATGACCAATTATATATACTCTACCAAAAGAAATATCATTAGATTATTTTCCCCCTTAAAGGAGGAGAGATGAAACAACACAGGACAAGAAGAAGAAAAAATAAGGAAAAGTGGAAGAAAAGGAAGAAACTCTAATAAAAGAATCTATTTTCATATAATGCTTACATTTCCTTCTTGAGAAAGTACAATAAATCCAGCTTATGGATGATATATGGTTATAAACTGTAACTCACTATACAAATGTTAGTTATTCTTGCTGGTATTTAACATATATGAAAATGTGCTTCACAATCTATAATTGTGCTAATAAAATAGGTATTTGTGAATATAAATTATACTGGCCATAAAATCAGCCTTATTAATCTAATATATCTTAGAGCGAGACCAAATTTAAATGAACCACTTTGGTAACATAGATAGCTGAAAACACTGTTTATCTTACCATGTAAGTGTCTCTCAGAACAGGAATACAAGTTTTGCTATGCTTCATATCCTGTTGGCAGTCTGCATTTCGATCTTTAAAACAGTAAAAAATGTTGTCAGATATGCAGATTTTCCAAGTTAAATAATTTGTTTAAGGATAGTAAATTAATGTGTTAGTATCCTTTTTTAGAGTCCTATCCAGAGTTTGGAGGGACTTTGGGGAGGGGGAGGTTCCCATATTGGGGATCAAACCCAGAGCCTCATTATGTGCTAGACAAGCAAAGTACCCCTGAGCCACATCCCAAGGATATTTATTGTAGCAAACTGACATCTGAACCAGCCATAAGTATCCATAAGCAAATAAAATATCTTTGAATTGCCAGTGTCCATCATTTTATCACAGTTTTGTCAAAAACAACTGTCTTTGGTGGTAACCATGAACAACACATCCTCCACCATAGAACTATAAATAAAGGCCTGATTTAAAACTATAAGGGACACTTTTCTATAACTACTGATGTTATTTAGAATGTTCTAAATGCACTATTAAATGTCTATATGCATGTCTAACTAGGAAAAGGGGTCTATGCCAGTACTGTACAAGGAGGAGGTGGCCTTGCCCAATTGGAAATAATCAGGGTTGAATAAATGAGTGGTAGCTAATCTCCCAGAAAAAGAAAAGTTCCCTATCTATGTGATAAAGACACAAAGACTTGTAGCATTATCACAGGGATCTTATCACAGCCACATTGTCAGGAATTTTTATTTAAAGATTTGCAAGGATTTGTCCAATTCCCTTTATTCTAAGGGACCAGAACCCTGGAGGTGTCGTATTTCAAAAGCTATGACTTTCTTAAAAGAAGGTCACTTGGGCTCTGGTTCTCCTTAGCCACCACCACCACCCATTCCAGTACAAAGTACCATGATAAGTTAGATCCAAAATAACATAAAGAAAATTGCTTCAGAGAAAGATCCTTAAATTGTCCTACAGCACTTCCCCCCAGCCCTATATGCCAGCCTGAGAGGGTGAGAGCTGGCTGAACTTACGCATAATTCCTTGCTCTGAACCTGAAGGTCCACTTACTCTACTGGGATGGCAATACTAACCTGAACCCTGAATTTTGGAGCCATAGTATTTCACAGCTTTAACCAACTGATAACAAAATGACAGGAGAAAACTTCTTTGTTTGCACAGAGGCCCCAGTACATTATTTTGACTTTATAAAGAGATTTTCAATGAATTTAAAAATCACAATATTATGATACTTGGTAATCGTTATTTCAAAACGGCAGTTTCTATTGTTCATGGAGAAATTTCAGTAGGTTTTCTCATACCAGTAGTTCAATTGAAAGATTCACCAACTGCTCCCTGGAGAAAACTGAAGATCTGCATTTAAATGGAGATATACTATTTCCAAATGCACAGTACCTAGAAGGCAGATACTGTCAAGGTTTCTTAGTGAGCATAACTCAGATTATATTAGGTAAATTTCAATGCCATAGCTATCCACATTTCATAGGGTGAGAGTTATTTCTATAACACTCATTTTTCTCTGTGAATTCTTCATAATGTTTGTCCCTAGAAGTTAAAATTAAACCTTGCTCCATAGCAGAGTCCTCACACTAACAACAAGCAATTACTACTGTACATATCATTTCTGATGTGTACGGAAAAAGACCACAGAAGCTAGCTCCGCCAGAAATGTTAAATAATTGAAAAGTATAATGACTTAATAGAGTAGTAAGCTTAGTTTACAATGCAGCCAATTTGAAGCCATAAAAATACTGTGTAAAAATTTTATCTTGTGGTTGACCATTACATATCCTATCTATTATTCAAAAGTATCTCAACAGTATTTTTCTTCATTAATGTGGCTTTTGGCATTTTCCTCAAAATATTTCTATTTCAACAGTTTTCCAACAATTCTGAAACAAATACAAAATTTCTGTATCATATCATAAAGACCCTTCACTGGTGTGATAATATGTTCAATGTCAAGCTGAAACCAATTTCATAGGTCAATCTGTAAGGCATACTTGAACCACCCCAAATATGATTTGCTTTGCATTGAACAGAATCAATCAGACATTAAGAAGAAATAAAAAAAAATATGAGACTAAAGATACTGGTACTAACACATCTGTAAACAAAAGGACAGCCTCATAAATAACTCCCTTTCCTGTGGCACACTAATCCAGGGATTTCTCTACATTAGAAAATGTCACGGGGCGTCAGAAAAGTTTTGCCTAAAGTGTTCTGCTAAGGTGCATAGCATGTCTGCTAAGGAGGAAAAAAAGAGACACTTAAGATCAATTCCAAACATAAGTCCATTACCTCTGGCAGACTCTCACTAGAATTCTAGCTTCAACTGAAATGTCCCTGTAAACAAGGTTACCAAGAACAGGCCTGGATATTTTTCTCAGCAACACTTTCCTAGGAGCCCCTCAGAGGTCGGTGTGGTGAATTATACCTTATCTTGCTGCTCTGCCCTTCTCATGCTGATTCAAATTCAGAACTCAAATGAAAGATGAAATATCTTGAAGATCACTTAATATTGAAATACTGTTGCAATAATAAGTGGTGCTCAGTTGGAGATGGGAACATGGTACTCTCTTGGTAACCTTTTAATTTCTGGAAAAATTGTACAGAATAAATTGAGCCGCACACACATGGAAACCTAATCGATTGATCTGCTCTATTTTGTTAAAACACCACCCATCAGAAACTCCCTCAGCTCCCCAGGCAATTCCTGTTAAAGACGACCAGCACATTTTAGGACGTATCATGCACGAAAACTTAAATGCTATTTGATTTATTAAAGAAAAAGAACCATCTTTTGTCTACATTTATCACCCCAGTCAATGGAGAGTCTGATGTGCAATATGATACCATTCCCAATATATACACATTTAATTCTATGCAAGTTTAAACAGTTATGAGAATTGCTTTAAGAAAAATAACAAAGCCATGCATAACTGACATATCTATTTCAAAGATCAGCTAGCCCTGTTTCATTACATAGTTGATGCTTTTCAAGTATGAAGGAAAAGAAACCTCATCAGTGTCACTTCATCTCCATCAGCATGTCTGTGTACCTTCCTTCTGTCAGCCACTCCTCAGCTCAGATTTGAGAACTGTTCAAATTTCCCTCTCTTTCTCACAATGACAGAACTGTTTCTCAGGTTGGTTAACTCATTTTGATAATATCAAATCTACTGGACAGGAGGGGGTGGGGGGGAGATCCTGAAACCACTCCCAAGTCCCATCCCCTGCCTCCTTCTAAGACATTTTTCTGCTTCTTTTTCTCTTGCCTGCTGCTTTTGAAGTTGAGCATTTTCCAAACATACTCCCCTATTTGGTCTTTGGGCAGTGTGAGAAACAAGTTTATAAACTAGACCAAGTCACTCAGCTGCTCTGAAACACACTTCACCACATCCGCAGGTCTCCAGATCTTGACTTAAAGTATTAAGCAGGAGTGTTTTGAAAGTAGTGGGTGGTCATGTGTGGACCTAAGGGCTTCTCTGTACCCATAAGCTGGCTGAAAGCTGGCTGAAAGACTTTCTTCCTCTTTTTTTCTTTCTCTAGTTCTTCTTCATATTTTTATTTTTATTTTTATTTTTTTTGAGGGGCCTGGATGAGAGGGTGCCTTTTTCAACACTGCCCTCTGTTTTATGTTAGCCAAATCAATTGGTTTCTCTGTGTGTCCCTCTTCCCCCATGGCCACTGGTTCTTATTCTACAACACAAACATAGCAAACGTGCTTCCCTAGCAAAAGCAGATCCATGTGGCAATTCACAACATAACCCAAGCAAGCACAATAAATAAACACATACATAATCATTCCACAACACTGAGGGGGTGGGGGTGGGGGTGTCTGCAGGCCTTTCCGGACTCTTACAGAATTGCTCATTAAGATTCTGAAAGACTGAAAGACCAAGGGGGTGCAGCTAGGGAAAGGTTGCCGGAAGAGGAGGGGAGGAGGGGCAGAGTGGAGCTTTGCCCTCTGTGTCTTTCTCTCCCTGAGAATCTCCCATCACCAAACAGGGGTGGGGAGGGGGGGGCACTCTATCCTGAAGAATTTCTCACACACTTGAGGGGCAGAAGGGAGTGGGTGGTTTGAAATACTTAAATGAGGGTCTGGTGACCTCTGTGCAACTTCAGCGACTCCCTCGGGAAGGTGAAAGGGTTGGGGAGAAGGGAAAGAGGCGTAGAGGACAGGAGGAAGACACCTACAGCAGCTGCAGTCACCAGAAGGATTTTCCAGCCCATGACAGCAGTCCTCAACTCCTGGCACCACCCTCTCCCACAAGACCCCTGCCCCACATCCCCTCGCCCCTAACCCCTCCCAGTGCCGGTGCTGAACTCTGCCCTCACTCTTTGCCACTTTACCAAGCACTTAAGTCTCTATCCAGGAAGGGGGATGGGAGGGGTGTTGAAAGAACAAATCTAATTGCAATTAGGATTTATCTGTGTCTCTAGCACACACGCTGACAGTTTTGCAGTCATGGTCAGGCAAGTCTACAAGAGGTGGGCAGTACTTAGGATTGTGTTATTGAGGGAGGGGTTGCTTTTTCTTTTTTTTTTTTTTTTCCTCCAAGAGACTCTAAGCAAGTGAAGGGGGGAAGGGGGTAGCAATACAGATTTCAACCAGGACTGCAAATAAAGAATGCCCCAGATGCAAATGTCTGTCTCCAGATGTTGATGATAAGGATTTGGAGCAGTTACCTTGGCAGGGTCAGAACTGCAGCAGGTTAATAAGGTGAGTCGTCGGGGATTTTAAAGAAGCCGAAGCCGGTTTCTTTGGCTATGAAAGTCTACAAAACCCCCATGCAGGAACATTGCACATCTTACACACGCCTCCTTTAACTGGGCTCCCACGACCTCAGCAGGAGAGGGGGTGCTGGCCGGCCCGCCGGTGGCAAGGGCACGGCCCCCCGCTCTGCCCCTGCGGGCACGGGGCCGGCCTGGCACCCGGGGTCCGCGTCCCGAGCGGCTGTGCACTCACCGAGCCAGGCTGCGAGGGGCAGAGGGGCGCCCGCGGCTAGCCGGAGCGCTGAGGCGCCTCCCTTTTCTCTTGGTAGCGTCGGTCCGCACTCCCTGTGACCCAGGACGTCATGATGCCTGTCTGTTTTCTCAATGATAACTTGGCAGAAGAAGAGAGAGGCTGCCAGGTTCTCCTCGGGTGGTTACGTGGTATGTGCACGTTTCTGTTTGCATGCGTTTCTCTCTGGTTTTTTAAAATAAATATCTATATTTAAAAAAAAAAAAAATTCCCGGCACAGTCATGATCTGATCGCATTATTGCGTTTGCATAATTGACGCCTCTGGGTGTGTATATATGTGTGTATGTGCGTGTGATTTTTTTTTCCCCTTTAAATCCTGCTGCTCCTGCCGCCGCCGCAGCCACTGCAAAAGGAAAGCAAGCATGCGTTCATCTTTTGTCTTTCATTTTACCTTCAGGGTGACACTCAGTACCAACTGCTCCCTTCTGACCGTCGCCAATCCTCGCCTGGGCAAAATAAATTTGAAAAACATGGGGGGAGGGGAAGGAAGAGCCCCCTGAGCCAGAATGCTGGGGTTTCCATTCTTAGGCGATCGGATCCCAAACCAACCCGACCCACCTCCCACCCTGTAAAACCTTTCTCCCTTCTACCCACCGGGCCCAGGCAGAGAATAGGCACCAAGATAGCGAGGAGCATCCACCCAGGGCCAGACACTCATGTTCGCGGCGTGCACTTGCTGACTTGCATATCTCGGTTGCATTCCCAGTGTGCAGGCCTCTCACAACTGGGGCTATTTTTGTCTCCCAGAGATGTTCTTTAAAGCCTTTTTAAAATGGGGAGGGGAGGGGAGAAGAAAACAGAGTAAAGTCCAAGCTTCCATTTGAGGGGCTCTGTGGACACACCATAAAATTTAGGAAGGGGGGCTCCTGGCATCAGACCTATCAGGGGAGTTTGGAAGGGCAAAAAGGATAACTAGCTTTTGACTTTTGTACAGTGGCAGGAAAACTTTTTTTTTTTTTTAATACAAAGATGTTACTGTGGACTATGTACTGTATTTCTCACTTTTATAACTATGTTCTCCAAGATCAGTAGGAAAGATCTCAAGAACATTCCTTAATATTTATTTCTTCCAAAAATAAGGTATTTTAGATGGTGTGACCACATGATAGGTGAAGCACAGATCAACTTCTTGTATGTTTACTTCATGTTATTTGTACATTGTCTGGTATGTTTTCTATAACTTCTCTTAATCATAATATTGTGTATTTTACTCACCATGGGTATGTTCCTGATTTAAAAAAAAATATCTAGCATCAGGTTTGGCCAATACTTTGCCCTTCTTTATCACTAATTACCCTTTTAGAGTAGCAGAATGGGCTAAGGACTTTCCCCCTCAAACTCCTGCTTGACCTTGATCACCATTAAGTATGGGTAAAGTCACAGTTCCACTCTGATTCCAAATTCCTAAAAGATGACAGCAGAAGCCGAGGTTGCAAAATATAAAGTGCCAAAGAGAATGTTCAATCTGAAAAGCAGAATGGCTTGAAAGAAAAACTTTTTAACTCATCCAAGATAATCTGCAACTGCTGGGTGTTTAAACATAGTTAACCTTAAATAGGTAAACTATTGGAGAAACTGGCTAAGTTTAATGAAAATACCAAGTAACTTGTTGGGCCTCTTTGCTTTAGCGTCACAGTCCAAGAATCACTAGCAAATCCCACAGGGAAGACACTGTAATTATGCAAAGGCCAGACAATCAGAATTGGAGAAGAGCCTAGCTGAAGTAGACTAAGAGGGTCAGAGGACTATTGACTAATGGCCAGATCCCAAGACTTGAGCAGTGCCTCTCCACCCTTGACAATTGGACATGGCTCCTCTGCCTCTGCTAATCGGTCTCCTTGGAATGCCACAAGGATGAACTGGTGCAGTCAAGCCCATGCCTAGAGGTTACAAGAATCAGTGTTTCTAAGAGGGCAAAGGCCAATTCAGAGACCATCTATAGTAACTTTCCAGTAACTATCCAAGAGGTACTCGTTAATATTCAATCTTGTTCTCCAGCTTTTTTATTAACCTCAGAACTGGACCCTTAAAGACCCACTGCAAAGGAAAAGAACCACAAAAATGTGACTAACTTTAATCCCCTGAAATCCAATTTCATTTTTTCTTTTTCAGACCAAACGCCGTCCCTGCTGTTTGTCACCAATCCACATACCAGTGCAGGCAGCCAAGTGGTTTCCTTCCCCAGGGTGAGATGTCTGAGCAACTAGAAGAGAGCAGAGCACAGTATTCAAGTGCTCCAAAGGTCTGAAAAGACACTTTCTAAACTGAGATTCCCTAAATTCAACTCTGCTTAAGAACAGCTCTGTGTTGTTTATTAGAGTTCAGACTCTCAGACTACTTTCAAGTCTTTTTTTTTTTTTTTTTTTTGGGGGGGGGGGGGTCTGGCTTCACCTAATATATAATCATTTAATATTGTTGTAGCATGTTCAATTTCACTTCCCAACCAAACCAGAGGGCATGAAAATGCTTACTAAGGTATATAGAACACATGGGAAGCAATGTAGTAAACCTTACTGGTGCTCAGAACTTGTGAATCAAATTAAATATCCTTAACAATAAAACAGGAAGACTGTTATTATCTCCTGTTACCTAGGGTACTGAAGCATGGAGAAGTTATATGCTCCAAGGTGCACAGATGGGATTCAAAATCAAGAGCCCTGAGTTCTATCAGTCTATTCAACCTTATTTCCAACTACTGGCATGGTGGACCCTTGGTTCAGTCAGGCTGGCCACCCATTGTTCATCTCACATACCCTGTTAACTCCTACTCCAATGGTATTGCCCAGTCATTCAATGCCCTCCTTCTGCCTCTTTAAATTGTATTTGCCAGTCAAATTCTATCCACTGGTCAAGGCCAAGTTCAAATCCTATTTTGCCCACAAAGCTGTTATTTATTATTCTTGGGTTTATCGATCTTTCTCTCTCATTGTTCCACAATGTTCACTATTACGTAGAACATCACGGGTCTCTAATTGTTTCTGAGGTTTCTTTTTCAATCCCTTCTTCACCTCTCAATTCCTTTCTGACAGAAATATGTTTTTTTTTTCTCTCTCTCTCTCTCTGTCTTTCCCGGTCTGCCTACCAGAGTGCCAAGAACAACACTATCTCTCATTAAATAGCTTCTGATACATTAATTGATACACAACTGTGCTTTGTAGAGCTAGGATGCCACTTTTCAATTTGATAAAATTTGAAAGTCTAATGTAACAAAAGCTTTATCCTTTTAACTGAAGAAATTATAAACCTGTTTCTGCCTATTTCAGATGTCCCTAGAAAACAATCAAGTCAGATCGATGACAAAACTATTTAACTGGAGAAGCACATTATGATGAAGAAGAACCTGATGTGGGGGTGAAGAGGGTGAGCAAGTATATAATTGTAGTATTGGGGAAACTATCATAAAATTAATCATTATGGGTTTTTTGGCTGTTATGAGCCTTTGTCTGATAAGTTTTTTTTTTCATTTTCTGAGTTAACTAATGCTTTCTTATTTGAAAGATAAGGAAATAAGTGGGAACTGGTGGCCAGAAGATGCGTGAGCTAGCTCACCTTAGATGGGCTACTGGTCAGCAGTGTGTGACCTCTGCAAATTATTTAATCATGCTGTGCCTCAGTTCCCTGCCTACACAGGATGGAACATATCTCCAAGTTCCTTGCAATGGCTCAATTAGAATATGACAGAGAGAAAGAGCAAACAAGAATATTTGGCCCATGGTGGGATTAGTTTTTTGGAGCATACTAGAAAGAATCTAGAGAACTCAGGTAAAATTAGCCAAGTTCATATTCTAATCCACAGTATAGAAAAGGGTAGCTCTGAAAAACTAAGTTCATATGCAAAAGCATAATCAAATTTATATTTTCCCAAAGTATCCCCGTTAGACAAAATTATTAATAACTATGTGTACCAATAACCTATCATTTCTGCCAAAATGTTGTTAGTCATCATTCATACTTGCCTACATGACCAAATTGTTGTATGGACTCAATTTGATATAGGTTAATTCAGTCTGTGTTGCATGATGTCTTCAATTCACAGGTAGTTTGAATTGAATCCTGATACTAGTTGAAGAGCAGAGATCTATCAATGAAGAGACTTAGGAGCTAGAACCTGAAGGGGCCTTTTTGCATATTTCCTTATTGGAACTGATTTCAGTAAGCTTCTCTGTGTGTTCCTTTCCTTATTTATTCTTCTCATTTTATTTAATTTTATTTGTGGTGCTGGGGATTGAACTCAGGGCCTCATACATGTCAGGCAAGTGCTGTACCACTTAGATTATCCCAGCCCTCCTTTATTTATTCTTAGGTATTGAATAGTTTGATATTATTCACTTTCTATCCAGGTTTTTGCTGAGGAAAATAATATAGTAGAAATGAAAAGGATGCTATTAATTCAAATAAAATATTATGTCAGATTTGCTTTGTTGTACACCTGAATTAATGTTTCTAAAAGGTTTTGCAAAGTTAGTAGAACATGTGGAGACAAGAATTCAGGCCTTGTTGAGAATCCAAGTTGATCCCTACCACCCTTTACTAGTTAAAGGACCTCACAAAATCCTAGAGCTTGGAAGAATCCATTGCCCTATCCATAATACATTTTTAGATGATGTGGTACAGACTCTGGGAAAACAGACAGCTAATCACATCTCAGCAAAAACCAAATTCATTAGAACATTTACTTAAAATAGGAATGTATAACAAATCTCTGACATGGAAATATGAAAATAATTTCATATCAGGCAGGGATCCTCAACCAGGTTTCGTGCTAGCTGAAACCTGGATATCCATGGATGAGTTACAAAGATCTTGAAATTATAGGCCAAGTGAACATGTGTATATTGTTCTCAAGAGAAATCCACAACTTTCTTCACATTCCTTTATGACTCCAGAAAGGTTAAAAACAACTGATACAAAAACAAGTTATTTTAAATGAACTTAAAAAAAAAAAAAGATACACATTCACTGAAGTCAAATGTCACACTGGTTACAACATGGATAGTATATAATAATTATCAGTATTCAGAATGATGGCCTTGAGACACGATGAAAGCCTCATGTCAAAGAAATTTACTTAACTGACAATTCGAAAATATAGCAGCCTATTCAAATTATTTGAATACTGAATTGAAATGAGGTTTCCGTTTTTGTCCAAGCGGGTTGGACAATCCTCTGTGTGCTAAGCAAGGTAGATTCATGTAGGAAAATAATCATTGTTTCAAGGAGTAGTTAGGAGTCCACTGCAGCTGAGGTGGCAAAGAATGAGGAGGAAGAACTGGAGGGATATTTGGCAGGGGACTGGAATTCACAGACTTTCATGTCTGGTTTAGGCAACTGAGTTAAATGTTATTAAAGAGATAAAAAAAAAAAAAAAGATTAAGAAAATAATGAATTTGGTTTGATATACGTTGGCTTTAAAGTCCTTTGGAACAGCCCAATTCCACCAGCCCTGGGAAAAATTAAGAACAGATTTGTGGCTGGAGAAATTTATTTGGAATCAGCAAGCAGTGAATTGGGGATGGGTTAGGCTGGTAAGACACGTGGCAAAAAAAAATTATGAACATAAAGGACTTAGAGTCTGGAGTAAAGTTGCAGTTATTTGAATGAGATCTAATTTGCAAAATGTGAAATTATATAACACCCAAGGCAAAACAGTATTAGTGATTTTAAGTATTGGTAGACAGCTGTACTGTAGCATACATTTCAGAAAAGAACAATCCATCTCAGAATTCTACTTCCCCATGAGGTTTTTCTGGACTTCTTTCAAGACACAGTTTTCCTTTTGAGATACCACTTTCCCTGCCTGGGTACAGAAGGGAGAAAGAGTTTTCCTTGGCAACCAGGTTCAACTGGAAAAAAATAATCAAGATGTCACCTGATGCCACAAGCTACAGACTATGTTTTCATCTCCGTGGACCTGCCAGTTGCTGAAGCAGCAGAGGAAACTCAGTGTCATGGAAAGAACACTAAACTTAGAGTCAGAACCCTCGAGGGTGAGTCTCATTTCTGCCTCTCGCTGCAATTGCAACGGTGGCCATTCACCCAACTTCTCCACATCTGGATTTCTTCTGTAGTCCCTGCCCTATTGTCACTGGGTCATGATTCCTATAGCACTGTTTTGGAAATTCCCAAAGGGCTGGCATAAGGGGGAGTAACCACAGCTTCAAAAGTTATCTCTTCTCTGAACTCCTCCACAGTGACACCTCACTGCATCCCCAGTGAAAGCCCCGTATGGCGGACCCCTCTTTGTCTCCACTGCCATCAACATTCCTATAGTACACTTAGATCAATGAGGCTGTACTCACACTTGAATTTTCCTTACTCTGTCCACTGCTCAGAGGTCTTGGCTGCCTTTACTGTAACAGATGTTTTAGTTATCTTTTGACTTGTAGAGCCCAGCATACAGTAGATGCACTGTAAGCGCTAAATGAATAAACAATTATCAGAGAACACTTGCCTGCACATGTTCCCATTTTGAGAAAATGCTTTAGGTAAGCTGAAAAATGGGAAGTGCTGGGCCAGCCTTACTGATAGGCAATAGACCAGAGTGCTTTGCTCATAAAATTTCTACATTACTGTGTATTGGCCTATAAGTTCCCTTATAATTTCTTATAAGGGAATAAAGGCCTTCTTTTATCAGACTTAAGCTTGAAATGAAAATCCTATTATCACTTCTTCCAAAAAATGTTTACACTGGTTTTATTCGACACTGATATAAACATGCTTCATTTCAGATTTTGCCAGAAAGCTGAGGAAAGAAAATGGGAAAAAAATACCATAAACCCATAGGAAAATTCAATGACTGTGAATATCTGGTGGAAAAGACACAGAAGGCACTCCGAATGTCCTGTTTTCAAATTCCTGAAGAATTTTCTTTAGCCTTCCAGGATTATGTATTTTACCTTCAAAATCAAATGTGTGATCTTTAAGTATCAGGGTTTGGGGGAGGTTTAAACGAGAAAATGCATATGATGGTACCATGCTTTGTCAAAGTAAACAGCTGATTTAAAAAAAAAAAAAGAAAAGAAAATTCTCCTCCGGGTTCATCAGTTTGTAACCATAATAAACTTGTAAGCTTTTCTCTTGGCCATGGCTACAGTTTGGACCTTAAAATATTCCCAAAAGGATCATATGTTGAAGGCTTGGTCCCTAGTCTGTTATGCTGGGAAAATGGTAGAACCTTTAAGAGATAAGGCCCAGTGAAAGGAACTTAGGTCACTGGGGACATGCCATTGAAGAAGGTATTAGAACCCTGTCCCCTTCCCTTGCTCTCTCTCTTTTGCTTACTGGCTGCCATGAAGTGAGCAGTCTAGTGCATCTCACACTCCCTCCATGGTGTGCTGCCTGCCTCTGGCCCCCAAATGACAGGGGGCCACACCTAGCTCCATAGCTAGGGAGTTGGCCAACCACCAACCATGGACTGACACCTCCCAAAATGTGAGTCAAAACAAAGCTCTCCTCTTTTTAAGTTGATTATCCCAGGTGTTTTGTTACAGTAACAAAGTTAACATAGCCAGACTTCTAAAAAAGAGGAGCACAAGGAGTAACTTATATCAGTAGCTCCCAAACTACTGATACAAATAAAATCACTTAGGATGATTTTAAAATTCTGATGCTTGAGTCATACCCCATAGCAATTATGCCTGAGGGTAGGAACCACGCTATAGTACTTTTGAAAATTTTTCACTTGATTCCAGTGTACAGCAAAGTTTGAGCTAATGTGGTAAAATGGCCTGTGGGTGGCTAATAAGCAATTAGTGCCTGATGCTAACAGGGTCCAAGTTTAGACTCTAATCTAGAGTAGCACAGTTCTTAGCCCTTGCACAAACCCATAACTCAAGCCCTTCTCCTTTTCAATGATCCTCTGGTAAAGCTCTTTGTAAATGGACCGTAAACAGAAGAACAATGGATCCACTCATCCCAAGTACTGAAACAGCAAAAGAAAAAAAGCACAGGAAAACACCCATATCTGTAGTACTATTTCATTTATAAAGTGCTATCGTTATTTAATCTTCACAATAACATTGCATAGTTGGCATTATTATTATTTCTAGATCGAAACAATCAAAAACTAAAGGGAGATTCACCTTTCTCTGGGACAAAGTGACAGATCCAAGGGTTTTACTGAGGCCCAGGACTCTGGAATCCATGCTGTTTACCTGAACCACCCTGCCTGGGAGACCCTACTAACTACCACTCAGCAAGATCACATCCACAGCTGAGGGTGGATTTGGAGCTAGGGTCTAGTTTCTCCAGCATACCTGGAGGAAAGGAAGGGAGGAAAGAAAGCAAAGGAAGGAAATATGGTCAAACGTATCTGAATTAAACAGGTTTAATTTTACCAGGCCTTTTCAAATTATTTCATATGCTAACAAGCAGGGGAAATGTCTAAAACCTAAAATTTCCAAACTGATTGAATGGGGAAACCCCTTTCTAGCTCACATTTCTCAGGACCAACATCTTAAGGAACACCACTGGAGAACTGTTACAATGGCTTTGCTCGGTTCCTTCCAAACCACGTTCAGTGTCACTCTTTTAGGAGGACCCACCCACTCCATACCCTATTTAAAACTGAAACATCAACTGTCCCTAGTCCAGTTTTCCCTTCCTACTTCCCTACTTTATTTTCCCCCCATTTCTCTCAACACCTTCAAATACACTTGATATTTACTTATTCATTCCATTTACAGTCTGCCTCGCCCCTTATGTCTACAAGCTTCGTGGGAGCAGAACATTTTCTGGCTGTTATGGTTTATACATGAAGTGTCCCCCAAAAGCTTGTGAGACTATGCAAAAACGTTCAGAGTGAAGTGATTAGATTATGAGAGTTGTGACCTAATCAGTGGATTAATCCACCTGTGTGGATTAACTGGGTGAAACTATAGGCAGGTAGGGTATGGCTATAGGAAGAGGGTCATTGGAGGGGATGTGCCTCTGGGGGTTTATATTATGTCCCTGGTGAGGAGAGCATTCTCTCTGCATCCTGATTGCCATGTCCTGAGCAGTTTTCCTCTGCCACATCCTTCGACCATGATGTTCTGCCTCACCTAGCTCCATAGCTAGGGAGTTGGCCAACCATCATCTGAACCTGTGAAACCATGAGCTAAACAACTTTTTCTGTATGTTGTTTTTGTCAGGTCTTTTGCTCACAGTGATGAAAAAGCTGACTAAAACATTGACTTTTTTTTTCCACACAGTGTTATCTCCTGTACCTAGAAGAGCCATTGTCACAGAGTAGGTGTTCAGTAAGTGGGTGGTAAATGAATGATTGGCCAAAGAGAAATGCACCATGGGAGAAATTCAAATGAAGGTAATATGTCCATAGTTAGATCCCCTTTAAAAGCACCTTTGTTTTCCAATTCTAGCTTTACCTCATAATGATCTAATTAAGTGGAGAGGATCCCTATCTTACAGAAAAATCAAGTGAGAAAGTGATTCAATCTGTAAGCGGAGCAAAACACTGGTTAAGCAAAAAGATCGTTAAATTAGAATTGATCCTTTTAATTTTCTGTGTAATTATTATGAGATAAAGCATATAGAATGGCTGTTTCTAACAGCAGATATGAAACCTCACAGAAATGTGGTAAGTCATGAATCGTACAGAGACCTACTAGATCAGCCCAGGGAACTACTGTTTATACACCAAAACCAGACCAAACTGAAATATAAAAATTTAGCAGATCCCTGACATAAAAAAAAAATGTTAATCATTGAGTGGATTCAGATCTCCATAGGTCAAATCGTATCATGGAAGGGTGTTCCATAGAATTCTAATGGAAGTCTTTGCGTCAGTTCAGAGCTCTTTTCTGTAAAGGCCAAAGTGCTGTGAACAATTCAAATATAAACAGGGATGATGATGGTCCATCGAGCTTAGAAAATGACCCAATTGATCGATTCCACTCCAAACAAAGAGAGTAACAATGAAATGGAGAATACATAGTAATAACACTGGATGAATGGTCCGCTCCTTACGTTTCCCTTTCTATCCAGAAAAATCACATTTATGAAGGAAGTTCTTTTAGTAATGAAAGTGGTATTTATTAAATACACCAGAAACTACACATCCAAACTAGCATTTCCCTTCGAAATAGTCACTTGGGGAGGCTACGTAATTACCTCAGTGATCCTGTGATTGCTCTAAACATTTGGGGAATTTCTCTTTTAAAATCACCTTCATAGCTGGTTTAGGACTCATACAGAAAAGCAATATCATTTCTTTATGGCTGTACTTTATATAACGAAAATACCACATTTCAATTCCCAGCAAACTGGGTTGGTCAGTGTTGTAGGTTTCAAACAGGCTGCCCAGCAGATTCTCCCAGGTACATATTAGAAACACAGCATGCCAGGCTGACCCCAATACACACTGTAGTAAAGTCAGGGCTGGGAAGTGGGAGTCTGTTTTGAATGATCCCTGATACATCCAATTTTTGTTGTGAACTATGGGAGAGAGTGCCTGGCTGTTAAGACAGGGTTTGGTATCTCAACACTATCCTGAACCTGAACCAGTTAGGATAGTTAAAGACCTCAAAGTCTGAACTTCTAATACCCATGCATTCATCACACATCACCTATGGAACTCTTGTCTTTGGTTTTATAAAGGGGAACCTTTTCTTTCACTTGAGAATGTCAAGGGAATGACTGTGGATGGTTAAGTTCAAAATCATACCCCACTGGAACATCCTCTCTTGCCATGCTGTCTTGACCAATCACATCTTCAACCTTTCATTTGGAGACAGTCCCAGAATAGAGAGGGGAGGTTCCAGAATAAAACTGTCTGAAGTCAAACCCTTACTCATTACTCAATCAGGTGACCTTCGAAAGTTGCTCATCTGCTTTGTGTCTTTGTTTTCCTACCTGTTAAATGTATCTACTAATAGTATTTACCTCCTAGGGATGCAGAGAAAATTGAGATAATGTATATACAATGTTTAGTACAGTGCTCAACGTTTTCAACAAATATTAGCTATTATCATTTTTTATACTTATGTGCTAATGATCCTTAAATCATAAATTCTAGATCTGAAATTACCCTCCTTTCTTAACATTAATACACAGATGCCCAAAATTGCTCTAAGAATTTTGAGACTTCATTTTTGGTTTACCAGACCAAAGTAATGTTTATACTATTAGCATTTCAAACTGACCGGATACAAAATTGAATTAATTATTGGCCCAACTTCCCAAATTCTTTTAGCTTCTCAGCTCCCAATCGTGGTTCAAGGTATCATCTGTAGGATTATTCAGTCCTGAAACAAAATTTATCTCAGATTCCTTCTCCTATCTTACTCTACCTCAAACCCACATGCTCATGTGCACATTAATTTAATTATAAAGTCATGTTGATTCTACTTTGACAGTTTTTCTTTCCATTCATGTATGTGTGTGTGTATGTTGAACCAACATTTATTAAACCATTACTACATGCCAGGTCAAAACACAGTAGATGCATTAATATAATCTTACAATAATCTTATGAGGTGCTATTTGTTACTTCCATTATAAAGATTTAAAAATTTAGGTGAAAAGAGATTAAGAAATGTGTGGGAGTTCAGCAAATCACTCTGAAGTCAATCCTCAATGTGCCCCAGAGCATTGGTCTTCACTATTATAGAACATTGCTGCTAAGATTTTTCAAATAATAATAATTAAAATGTGTTGAGTTCTCAGTCTGACATATTCTCATAGAAATCCTCTCATATAAATGCTGTTTAAACCCCATTTTGGCTGGGTGCTATGGTGCATGCCTGTAATCCCAGTGACTGGGGAGGCTGAGGCAGGAGGATTCCAAGTTTGAGTCCAGCCTCAGCAATTTGGCAAGGCCTCAAGCGACTTACCAAGACCCTGTTTCAAAAAAAAAAAAACATAAAAAGGGCTGAGGATGCAGCTCAGTGGTAAAGCTCCCCTGAGTTCAATTCCTCGTATAAAAACAAAACAAAACAAAAACACAACTTTTACAGACAAGAAAATTCCACCCACAGAGTATGAACTACCATTTCTCCAGTTCCGTGTCTCCATTGCAAACTGTCTGACCTAATGAAACTCTCTCCCAGGTCTTCTCTACACCCTCCAAGTTAAAATCTTCC